AGTGGTACGACGACGAGACAGACAATTGCGATTCTCCATGCGAGGATGTGGGAGAGGATGATGGCGGCTATGAAGTTGACAACGACGGAGAAGAGTGTGCCAATGATGGAGCCGCTGAAGCCCGCTAGCGATTGGCCATCCTTGGTGATGAATTCGAGGAGCACAGTCGGGCTTCTTGATTCAGATTCGTGCCATTGTAGCGGCTGTTGGAGTAGCGTGTGTAGAGACAGGTTGCGGACCTTGTAGATCAATCGTTCCGACAAGAGACCAAACGACGCCCAACTGGTGAAATTGGCCAGGAAGGCGACACAGGCAAGCATGAACCACATCCCAGAGAGGAGTTCACCTCTAGAACGAACGTACTCGGGCGTGTTGCATGGAGACATAGTGCCCATGATGTTACCGAACAGGAGACCCGATCCGCAGTACTGGCCACCTACTACCAGTGCTGCCAAGAAAGCCAGGATTACAAGAAGTAGGTACGGTCGCGTCAAAGGAAGCATTGTCTTCCTGATAGAGCCCGCAATGACGACACCCTTAGTGTGCTCGACAGCTTCCGCAGCATTGGCGTCGTTCGCTGGCACAGCATCGGGCTCCTGCGCACTTAGCGCCAACTTCTCATTGGTAATAGAATCGGCATCGCGGGAGTCCAGACTGGTTCTTGAGCTGGTCGCACCGTCGTCAGATTTGACGCTTTGAAGGTGAACCATGTCTGCGTATGACCCTTCCAAGTCCATGAGTTGATCGTGGGTTCCTTGTTCGATGATGTCACCCTTCTTCATGACGATGATCTTCGCTGCAGCTCTGATAGTGGACAATCGATGAGCGATCGAGATCACTGTCCGGCCGCGGGAAGCCCGTTCAATAGCAGCTTGGATGCGCTGCTCACTAGCTGAATCTAGAGCAGCGGTGGCTTCGTCGAGGATCAAGATACGAGGGTCCCGGACCAGAGCTCGGGCGAGAGCAATACGCTGCTTCTGTCCACCACTGACAAGACTGCCACTCGAGCCAACCGAGGTCGCGAACCCGAACTCCAGGCGATCGATAAAGATAGCAACATCGGCGAGGTCTGCAGCATCCTTCACAAGTTGAACGATCTCCACAACTTCAGGACCAGCCTTCTCGGCGACTTGAGCAAGATCCTGGCCGCCCCTGACGTCTTCCGCAACCTGAGCGAGGATTCCGCTCAGCAGCGTTTTCTCGAGATGGGCATGAGGCGGGCTGTTGACGAGACCGAGAGCAATGTTCTCCAAGATGGAGCGATCAAGAAGTGAAGGTTCTTGCTGGACGAGACTGATGAAACCTCGGAGAGACTTGATGTTGATGTCTTTGACATTGCGGCCGTCCAGAACTACATCGCCAGATTCGGGGTCATAGAACCGGCTGATAAGACTAGCGACTGTGGACTTGCCGCTTCCGGAAAGACCCACGATAGCAGTCAGTTTACCTGAGTTAGATGGTCAGTCTACGTACTTCCATTCCGTGCCATGTAGGTGACGTACCAGCTTCGCATGTTAAAGAAATACCGTTCAGCACGGGATGATCAGGCCTTGAACTATACGTGAACGCGACGTTGCGGAACTCAACAGTCCCATCAACATGAGTAGGCTTCTCCGCGGATGACGAGGTGTTGTCGATGGTGGGTTGAGTCTCGATATCCTTGCGCAAGCGCTCGAAAGCTGATATCGCCCCGCCAAACAACGGCAACATCGGCGCGATCTGACTGAGGACGATAGCACCTAGTATCGGAAGTTAGCATCGGAAGAACTAAACGATCGGTAAGATACTGACCATCGAGCAGAATGAATGTGACGGTGTAGATCTCTCCGATAGTCGCACTGCCTTTGCCCTCGAGAGAGTCTGCGATCCTGCGACTACCCTGCCAGTAACCTAAGGCGCTGGCCGAGAAGGCGATGAAGTAGAGCAGACCAGCCTGAACCGCAGCGGTCGTGGCCTTCTTGACACCTGCTTCACGAGCATCGCTCAGATGGCCCTCAAACTTTGCCTCGAGCCTGGCATTTGCACCCAGCGCATGCACGAGGCCTACATGACTGAGAGCTTCAGATGCGATGGCGCTAGCGGACCCAAAGCAATCGCCGACCTTGGCAGCATACTTGCCAAAAAAGTGACCGCCAACCACGGCCATGAGCAAGAATGCAGGGATTAAAGAGACGAGCATGCCAGCGATCTCGGCATTCTTGATGAAGCCAACGATGTAGGCCGTGACACAAAAGGAGAGGCAAGTCAGAGCCACGCCAACCTTTTCGCCAGTACCACTCTCGATTGACTGGATGTCGCCGTTGAGTCGAGAAGACACTTCTCCGGCCTGTAGGTTGTCAAAGAAGGCCATGTCCTGTCGCAGCAGGTTTCGGAGGTAACGGTCTCGGATGCGTTGAGCTAGGCGCTGTGATGCCAAGTTCCAGCATACAAGGTGCGTGTAGATGCAAGTGAAAGTGCCACAAGCGATGTAGACGAGCAACAGGATCTTGGGCGTGATGTTGGCTTCTTCAGACCCGTTAGAGCTACCTTCGCGGTTGTTGCATGTCGCAACATTGATCTCATCGACCAATTGACCGAAGACGATTCCGATGAGTGGGAATGGCACGCCTGCTGCAATGGCAGCTATAGCGCCCACGAAGACCAGTATCTTGTCGAGCCATGTCGGGTCTGCGTAGAAGAGGAGGTGAAGGAAACCAAAGAAACGCCTGATAGAGGCCCCAGAGGGCTTACTGAACGGCATTGAGCCTGCGAGACGTGGTTAGGAGCTCAAGAAGGAGTATCTCGCGCCGTATGCAGTGGTGAAGCTGCGCGAAGACGCCTGCATGAGGTTCACCCCCCGGGCGCTATGGCCGCGCCAGGAGGCGATGGCCAAGATCGACATGGTGCAGCAGCAGGGTCAACGGCTAGCACAGCGTGAAGAGGCATAGCGTCACGTGAAGGAGGATGCGTGGTGGAAAGTGGTGTGGGCCGGTGTGGTTCGTGTGTGGAGGCTTCAGGACGTGTCACCGAGTCACTTGCATTGGGGTCTGTGCTCAAGTTGCATCAGATTAGATAAAATTCTGCACCATCTAGCGCCTAAACCTTGGAACCCAGAACCCACAGCTGCGCACCATCATCCCGCTCTATATCCTAGCCTGGACCTGTAGTCCGGCGCCATCCCGTACTTCAGATGACCCTGTCGCTGCCTTGCGCACGATCTCGCCAGCCATCAAGGCAATGTCCTTGGCCAATGCACGTCCGCCCTCTGACTTCGAGGACACCAGCCACAGCCGGCAGCCCTCCGCGACGGCGCCACGCTTGAACTGCACTTCCTCCAGGCTCTCTCCCTTTGGCCGGCAACCCAGGATGAGCGAATCAATGCCCTGGAACAATGCTGTGTTTGCAAGCGGACTTGCTGCCGTATCCCTGATGATGAAGTCGGACTGTGAGCACGCGGCAGCAGCGTCCTTCCCAATGATGACGCGCAGTCTGAACTCGCCCTTGGACTGGACTAGCTTCTCGTACGCGCGCATGTAAATCGTCTGGATGAGCTCTGATGCTTCCGTGACAGAGGCTGGCTGCGCGCTAGTCGGTTTGGCCCAGATCGAGCAAAGCTGGGGTTGCGACGGCTTCGTGTCGTCGAGAACCGTCAGAGGGGCCAGCGATTCGTCCTCTGTCACAACGGTAATGTTTCCCAGACGCGAGCACGTCAGGAGATCGTCCAGCACCTCGGCAGTCTTTTTGCCTGAGCCAACAAGAGACACGTTGAGTCGTGGCTCATTGGCGCCGCGCAGTTCGTTACGCCTGCTGGGGTACTCGTCCATGGAGATGATCCGCTGTCCGGATAGGAAGTCAACAGTCGGTAATGGCTGCGCAGCCGGACTGCTCGCTCTTGATGGGGAGGGTGCGACAAGACTCCTCGCCCGCACCACGTATGTCTTGCCTGCGCTGTCCTTGACGGCCACCTTCCAGCTTTGCACAGCATCTGCCTCAACCTCGGGCGCTACACCAACGACTTCGCTGCCATAGCGGACTTCGTCTTTGAAGTGCTCGGCGGACCACCTCATGTAGTCTTCGAACTCTTCTCGTAAAGGGTTGAGACGATCCGAGTTTGAGAACTCGATGAGACGTTTACGAGCGAGCAGATAGTTGACATAGCTGAAAGCAGTCCTTGGGTTGCGCAGGGTCGCCAGGTCGTACATGAAGGGGCTCTCCATTCGCGTTCTCGAGATGTTGGATGTCGATCCCCATGAGAAGGATTTCTTCTGCTCGACGAAAAGCATTTTGGACGGCGTCTTAGATTCGCGATTGGCGATGGCTGTGGCGAGTTGAGCTGCGCCAAAGCCGACACAGACAACGTCGTAGTATGGCGATGAATCCGCCATGGGCGCGGCAGTCGCTGCGTCGCTTGCTCTCCTCTCGGTCGAAGTCATCTTGGAATACTGTTTGGTTGATTTGGAGCAAGTATCGATTGTGACTTTCTTGATTTGTACAGCAAGAAGGTGTTTCAGCGCTAAGAGATATAGTACTACAGCGACATAACACGATTGCACAGCTCAGGCACAATTTGCAGGCCCTGCGCACTGGCCATCATCAGGTATATCGATGCCCACGCTCGAAACAACGATGTCACCAATGGTTAGCGTCGCCGGTACAAAATGCGCGATGCATTTTCGTCCACTGACGCCGACCTGCATGGGTTTGTGGAAGCTAGACTGCGGCCCACATGGGGTGGATCAGCCACCAAATCGGAGCTTTCCTCACGCCACCTCTTGACTACAACCCTGTGACCTGTTTTCCTTGCCGGAGAATGGGTAACAAATCCACCTAAGCCTGCGTAATGCAGTGGCCTAAGCTATACCGGATATTGGGAACGACCTCGGTTAAACATTCACGCATCGTATTCCTGAGCATCTTGAGAGACTTCAAGCATCCGGGTTATAGCTTCTCGTCCATTGCTGTCGCATGCTCGACTGTATTTTCAGTTTCTTCTTCTTCATTCTCAGTTCTTGTTCATCACCATGGCGCAGCAAGCTAAGTCGGATACCGCGCAAGAACCGCTCGTTCTCAAGCTTCCTCATCCATACCTTACGGCATATACTGTCGCGAACGTGGCACCTAAAGGCCAGTCTGCTAGCTACCAAGTTCAGCTCTCTTCACAAAACGATACCGGCAAAGGGATCGCTCCACCCACAACTCTGCATAACGAGACTGTCACGTTCAGCGACGTTGGGACTTTGAGCCAAGATGCTGTACCGCCGATGGGTGATAACAGTTCTTGGGCGCGCACTCGAAGATCTCCATATGTGACAGTTACGTGGACCCAAGATCGTCCATCTGTCCCGCAGCTCTGGCTCATCGCCTACGCGTTGGTCTCGCTGCATCCCCTAGTTGAGAACTTCCGCGTGCTATTGTCAGGGAAGGACTCTCAAGCACTAGCCCAAGAGCTATACGCCACTGGTCTCTTTCATTCGCATCCCAAGGCTTCCAACGCATCGGCGCCTCATGATGGCCATCTCCTCTTCCGAGGAACATTCTGGCAGGGCGCGGCTTCTCCATTCGGTGCTCGTCCAGTCTGGGCACCGCATCTCGATGCCTCAGGCAAGCCGATCGACAGGCGATATCCTCCATTCCCATTCCAAAATGCGCCATCAACACAGTTCCCCGCTCTCCCCCGGCACACGCAGCATCCAGTTCGTGAGCCAAAGCCCGAGCCAGGCTCGATCATCTATAGCCGATGGGTTCCACATCTGAAGGAGCACTTCACGATGGTGGCTCTCGACTACACCAATGACGAGCATCTCCGCCTATTTAACAAGTGGCAAAACGACCCACGTGTCGCTGCGGGATGGAACGAAACCGGTACCCTGGATCAACACCGCGAATACCTCCGAAAGCTGCATGAGGACCCCCACGTACTCACCATGTTCGCGGCTTTCGACGACATACTATTTGCGTACTTTGAAGTTTATTGGGCGATGGTAAGTTAACATCATCTCCGATCTCGTACAACCTATGGACTAACACATGTCACAGGAGGATCACATGGGTGCTCACTACCAGTCTTCGCCTTACGACCGTGGCAGGCACTCACTCGTCGGCGACGTGCGGTTCCGAGGGCCATATCGCGTGTCTGCGTGGTGGTCTGGCCTAATGCACTACATGTTCCTCGATGAGCCGCGCACCTGGAACCTGGTCGGTGAGCCCGCAGCAACAAGTAGCACAGTGCTAGCATATGACTTCGCCCACGGCTTCCATGTTGAGAAGCTTATGGACCTTCCTCACAAGCGCAGTGCGCTGATGATGGTCAACCGGGAGAAGTTCTTCACGCTTAGTCCATTTACTTGGGACGGCGAGAAGAAAGTTCGCCCAAGCCTGGATGCAGGCGCGAAAGCGAAACTGTGATCTGGCATTATGCGCTCCTTTCTCGATACCACGTAGCTATACCGACTTTCCATTAATGTAAATACCACATGTCCATCTTCGACTCAATGCGTGAGCCATTTCCCTTTCCGATCACGTCGGAACTAGCTTCCGTCCCCAAGTACCGCAACCCGGGTTTCGCCTGGAGACGGCCGGCAACATTGTGATGTGCATTAGACAGCTTCCGCATCGCTTTTCACAAGCAAACTTACACCGTTGTACGAACATACATTCATCCGGCCGTTCGTATATCCCACACTAACCGACGACACGCACGTCACATATGACATGACCTCACGCCCCGTCCAGCCAATAACGACCGTCTCACCCCGGTCTGCTCCGCTGCAGCCCGCGGATCTGATAATTAGCCGCAATGTTTTTATCTGATCCGTCGGTGCATAGCGCTCAAGCCAGTGCGCACCGCGAGTGGACGGCGCGGCATGTCTTCGACCGCATTTTCCACGGCGCTCGGATGACGGTCACTTTGTGGAGATGTGGTGTGGATGCAACACGTAACGGCACTGCAGCGACACGACAGGACAGACCCCGGCTACATTCTCGAACTGGTAGATCGCTACGCGATGGTGGATGTGGATGAAAAATTATCAGATGCACCGGCATGACACCAGGGCGCGCCTGATGGGGCAGGCCAGTAAATTATCTGATCCGCTGTAGGCTATTGCCCAGCCGGATACAAGGCGCTAGAGCATCCTTCCCACTCTCCACATTGATGCGGCACACCATCCCATGCCGGACGCCTTACTCGTACTTTCCATCTGATAAAAATTTCTTTTTGATCTAATAAAAATTTGCTTTGCATCAATGCGCCTTTTACGAGGAAGGGCCCACCGATGTCGCAGCGCCAGGATATTGCCATAGCCTGCCTTAATCTTATCAGATCAAGATCGAGCGCCCGACCCTTGTCGGTCTACTACCCCGACAATGGTGGCTTCGCCGCTTGCTGTCATCGGTCCCAACATGCAATGGAAACGAACTACACTCACGGGGGCGATGCGACTTCGAGCGACGATCTTTGCCTGCTGTGAGTAAGGAAAATTCTGCCCATCACTTAATGGTGCCTTGTTAGCCTGGCTGCGGCGTTGCGTCCGGAAGGAGCAGGGCTGAGCGAGAGGCCGGCGATGGCGTGGGTAGTCGATCGAAACGTGAGTGATGGCCCACAGACGTGTCGTTTCGAGGGCTCCGGAGACGGCGCGTTTCGAGGGCGAGATGGGTTGCCCTGTTTGTGTTCTTAGATCCGAGCCATCGGCGAAGCACCGTCATTGAGCTGTTGTTATCGCTGAGTGCTATGGCCGAAGTTGCTACTTCGAAGGTTCATCGCCGAGTGATTGATTGCCTTTGGGTGTTGTTGTATACTATTGCTTCTTTATCGTTTTCTTTCTACGCCTTCCATCAGCTTAGTCGCCAGCTTATACCCACCGTTGCGAACTCTTCGTTTTGAGGTAGCATTCGGATCGCTTTCCGCATTCGACCATAGTACTTCGACAGGTTGCCTGCGAGGGAACGACATACACACATCGAAATGGGGGAGATATACGACCAATCGCGGAATGACGCATTACAGCGTCTGAACCAAACACTACTTCAAATCGACCCTTACATCCTACCTCCATATCCCAACCTCTCGATCGTCGCAGGGCCATTGGATCCACCACTACTCCAACTAACACTCTCGCAACTACTCCAGCAGCAGGTCGAGTGCTACCCAGACAATGAAGCCGTCGTCATACCTTGGACAGGTGCGCGGTGGACGTACAAGAAGTTATGGGAAGAGTCAAGTTTGCTCGCAAGAGCTTTACTGAAAGAGGGAGTGCGACCGAGAGATAGAATAGGAATCATGAGCGGAAATTGCGAGAAGTACATTGCACTTTTCTTTGCTTGTGCGAGGGTTGGGGGTATCTGCGTTACGCTCAACAACACGTATACGGCGACGGAGATGGAGTATGCGCTGAAGCATACCAGTAAGTTAACTTGACGTATGACATGAAGGAAATACTGACAATAGTAGAATGCAGAATACTGTTTACTACACCTACGATCGCACGCTTCGACAATAGACCACTGCTGGAGAAGCTCAGTCAAGACGATATCAGCTCCACACTACCGGACCTCAAGACCGTGTGCCTGATACGCGGCCAACACGATAGCTTCATCTCCTACTCTTCCCTTATCGAAGAAGCCCAATACATCCCGGAGCATATCCTAGACATCTTTGACGGCATAATAAGTCCCTACGATGTCGCGAACCTGCAGTTCACGAGCGGTAGTACTGGCAACCCGAAGGCTGCCATGTTGACACACCAGTAAGTCAGCCCACTCCATTAGATGATACTCTGCTGACGTTGTGCAGCAATCTCATCAACAACTCCCGCTTCATCGGCGACCGCATGGACCTCACACCGAACGATACCCTCTGCTGCCCACCACCTCTCTTCCACTGCTTCGGTCTCACCCTCGGTCTCCTCGCTTGCCTCACACACGGTGCGAAGATTGTCTTCCCAGCCGAACAGTTCGACCCAGTTGCCTGTATGCAGGCTATCGACGCGGAACGCTGCACAGCTCTCCACGGTGTACCAGCTATGATGGAATCTATAATGGACGTGCCGCGGCCGGAAGGCTGGACGAGCGATCTGAGGACAGGCATCGTGGCAGGAAGTCCGGTGCCGAAGTGGTTGATGGAGCGCATGGTCAACGAACTCAACATGTCGGACTTCACGTCCTCGTATGGGCTCACCGAGGCCAGTCCGACGGTGTTCAACGCACACACGACTGACTCTCTGCATGCGCGGTTGACTACTGTCGGAACGGTGTTACCACATGCGCGCGTCAAGATCGTCGACCATCAGGATCGCGTCGTGCCGATCGGCGTCAGAGGCGAACTCTGCGTCGCTGGATACCAAGTCTGCCGCGGGTACTGGGAGAATGCTGAGAAGACGGCGGAGCTCATCGTTCGCGACGAGTATGGCGAGCCTTGGCTTCATACTGGTGATGAGGCGGTTCTCGACGTGGATGGTTATTGCACCATCACCGGTCGGTTCAAGGATATCATCATCCGAGGTATGTGTCTCCCTTCCGTCAACACAACCATTGAAGCCTGCGTACTAATGAGATGTTAGGAGGCGAAAACATCTACCCTCTCGAAATCGAAGAACGTCTCGTCGCACACCCATCCATCGCCCGCGCAATCGTTGTCGGCGTCTCACATCCCCGCTACGTCGAAGTGCCCGCTGCCTTCCTCCTCCACGAGCCCAACACGGATAAACCAGATTTGGCTGAGGTGCAGGGCTGGGTACGGAAAGTGCTGGGCAGGCATAAGGCGCCTGTGCATATCTTCTGGCTGGGGGAGGATTGTGATGCCGAAGTACCGTTGACAGGCAGTGGTAAAATCAAGAAGTTCGTGTTGAAGGATGTTGCGGAGGGTTTGTTGAAGCCCGCGGAGGGGAGGTAAGCACTATGTCACGTGCTGACGTGCCGCGGATGAAATTTAGCGTGTCATGCTTTCGCGCAAACATCATTGTTCTTATCGCGACTTCATCATCGTCTTCGCGCAATTGTTTCCTTCCACTTGTATACACGTTACCGACTTCCTGAACTATCTTATACCTCTTGCTCAGGCTCTTTCCCCCGCTGACAAGCGTTCCTGTCGTCCACAACTTGACGCTCCACGGAGTCGCACAATCGACGTCATGTCGTCGTCAAAGCTACACCATTGCCAATGCTTTGTTTTGGCTCACGCGACGCACTGGACCAATGATGCGCGAGCTATTACATGAACCCGTCATGATAATTGACTGTTTGGGCATATACAACACCATGTACCTCCACGTGCAGCTCCTACGCTCCTTTCACCTGCCGTTAAGACATGTCGCTGTCTGCCCCTCGTCTCTTCCGTACCTCTCTCCTTCGAAACACCGCACGAATATCCTCCATACGTCTAGCTTCATATAGCAGACTCGCGCCCCGCCTACAGCAAGCACCGAAATACGCTTTCGCAGGACAACAAGCGAACATGGCGACCATGAGCGGCGACGCGCCAGTAGCTACGGCCAAGACTTCGAGCCCACAGCACTTCATGTATACAAGCGGAGAGACGGACCCTGTGTGGATTCACCACCTGCCGTACAAGAGCATCCCCAAGTTCCCCAAGCTTGACAAGGACCTCGAGACGGACGTCTGCATTGTCGGCGCCGGCATCTCTGGTGTCTCAGTTGCCTATGAGCTCGTCACTCGTGGCCTGAACGTTGTCTTGATCGAAGGCCGAGAGGTACTTTCAGGTGAAACTGGACGTACCAGCGGTCATCTCGCCAACGACCTAGACGACGGCTATACTGCGATTGCGAAGAAGCACGGGGACAAGGGCGCAAAGGCGGCCGCCGAGTCACATACCTGGGCGCTTAACCGCGTCGGTGAGATCTCCAAGCAGCTGGGCATCGAGTGCGAGTACCGCCATCTTCCCGGCTACGACTTCTCGCAATACCCCAAAGACTCAAAAGACCATGCGAGCGACATCAAGACTCTCATCGAGGACGGCGACAAGGCGAAGGCGCTCGGTATCCCCACGGAATACAAGGAAGGGTTCAAGCTCAAGGGTTGGGAGGGCAGCATTGACCAAAGCGATGCCGTCATCTACCCGCAGCAGGCGACGTTTCATCCCACCAAGTACGTCGTCGGTGTGCTCGACTTTCTCAAGCAGCAGTCCAACTTCTCGTGCTACACCAACACTCGATGCATCGACGTGCAGGAGAAGGGCGTAGAGATCATGGGCATGGGCCACAAGGATGTCTACGTCAAGACAGCCGACGGAAACACCATCAAGTGTGCCGATGCTGTCGAGGCTACCTGTGTCCCGCTTCAGAAGCTCTCTGTCATCGCCGAGGAGGAGTACTTCCGCACCTACTGCATTGCTATTCGCGTACCCAAGGGTTCAGTCGAAGACGCCCTAATCTACGATTCGGCCGAAATCT